TAGAATAGAATAGAATAGAATAGAATAGAATAGAATAGAATAGAATAACAGAGTTGGAAGGGACCTTGGAGATCTTCTAGTCCAACCCCCTGCTTAGGCAGGAAACCCTACATCACTTCAGACAAATGCCTTATGGGAAGCCCCCATCTGTTTCATGCTGGTTACCCCAAAAAACCCAAACTTGGCTGGGATGGAAAAAGACACCACGCTGCAAATTACAGTTGACAAACCAACCCAGCCCAGCTTCAAGCCACATCTTCAACATGCCCCGACAAACCACAGTTGATTCTGGGCTTGATAGATCAATTTAGGCGTAACCGGCATGGCGTTAAAAGCTTGAAATCTCACTTTAGGCTGGGAAGGTACAGAAACTGGATGGGAACTTCAAAAGGCCGGAGAGAGCAGCTTCAAAAATATATAATTAAAAAAAATTAAAAAGGCGTTTGCAATGACTCAGCTCTGGAAAGGAGTCCCATGCGCTTCCTGTGTTTCTCTTAGCCAGATATTTGGGTTTTTCTTATCCAGAGGACCCCTCCTCCTGTTTCTGTCCCCCCTTCCCCCCCCCAATTTTTTTTCCTTCTGGTGCATAAGCTGAGAATTCAGACCCCAACCCTTTTCATTGCAGGACCCTTCCCTCTGTCGTGTGCCTGCAATCTTTGGGCCAGTTTTTCCTCAACCTTGAAGATGGGTGGACTTCCAACCCCCACAATTCCAAGTTTTCCTGCTCCCACTGGGGAATTCTGGGACTTGGAAGCCCACCCTGGTTTTGAGGTGCTTTCTTGCAAGCCAAGGGGCAATGCAATGCAATGCATTTAATGCAATGCATTTAATGCAATGCAAACACCTGCATTTGCAGCCGCCTCCAGCCCCAGGGCCTGGAAAGGCCCTCCTGCAAAAGCTTTCCCCGAGGATGATGGGACCTGTAGTCCTTTATATCTCCGGCTGGGTTTCCCCCCAACCCCCAGCCCACCCAGCCTCTGTCCTGCCACTCACATCCTGCAGGACCTCATAATAGGCCTTGATCTGGGCCTCAATTTCGTCCTTCTTCTTCAGCAGCTCCTGCAGGTCGCTGACCGTCACTGGTGGCTCCTGAAGAGACATTTTCTGGGCCCAAAAGCAAAACAAAACTGCAAACGCTCCAAGCTGGGAAGCCAATTACAAAAACTACGGGTCGCGGCGGGGGGCAAACGTCCACGGATTGCAAAGTTCGGTTTTCCCCCAGTACGTCACAAGGAGGCGGGAACAAAGCAAAGGGGCAGACCAATGGGCGGCGAGGGGGCGTGGCGAGCTGACCCCGGGATTTTTTTTTTCCATTTAAAGGGAGCGAAGACGTGGTGGAGTTGCACGTGTGAATGGGACGCTGCCTGGCTTATTCCCCCCCCCCCCCAATAAAAAAATAATAGTTCATAGAATAAAAATGCAGTTGGTGAATTCTTGAGGCAGGGAAATGAGGTAGTAAATAAGGTGTTGTCTGGCACAGGGACATTTTTGTTGATTGTCTCATTTATTTATTTACATTTTATTTGTTTATTTATTCACTTCTATTGCCAGATTATCTATCAAAGAGGTCCCCAAACTTGGCAACTTTAAGACTTGTGGACTTCAACTCCCAGAATTCTCCAGCCAGCAAAGCTGGGAGTTGAAGTCCACAAGTCTTAAAGTTGCCAAGTTTGGGGATCTCTGATCTATCATCAATCATATCTCTAGCTATCCACCTCTCCCATCCCTCCCTCCCTCCATCTATCATCAATCTATAGCTCTCCACCTCATCTGTCTGTCTGTCCATCTATCATCTATCTACCATATATTTCTAGCTTCTTTCTTTATTGGCCAAGTGTGATTGGACACACAAGGAATTTGTCTTTGGTGCAAATGCTCTCAGTGTCCATAAAAGAAAAGATACATTCGTCAAGAGTCAAGAATCCTCAGGTACAACACTTAATGATAGTCATAGGGTACAATAAGCAATCAAGTCATACTAGGAAACAATATAAATTGTAAGGATACAAGCGACAAAGTTACAGTCATCCAGTCACAAGCGGGAGGGGATGGGCGATAAGGAGTGATGAGCAGATTAATAGTGATAGTAGTGCAGACTTTGTAAATAGTTGGACAGTGTGGAGGGACAGTGTGGAGGGAATTTACATGTTTAGCAGAGGGATGGCATTTGGGGAAAACCTGTCCTTGTGTCTAGTTGTTCTGGTGTGCAGGGCTCTATAGCGTCGTTTTGAGGGAAGGAGTTGAAACAATTCATGTCCAAGATGTGTGAGGAGTCTTAGATATTTTCACAGCCCTCTTTTTTGATTCATGCAGTATACAGCATCCTCTCCCCTTCCCATCCATCCTTTCATCTATTTATTATCTATCCATCTCTGTTTATCATCTGTCAATATCTAGCTATCATTGTCTGCCTGTTTGTCTGTCTATCAATCATCTATGTTTGGCCATTTAGTTTGGCAATTAACAGCAATGTTTTTTTTAAAATAATTGCTACCATTTTTATTTCCTTTTCCTCCTTCCAAGGTCTGGTTCATGCATCCCTTATGCTACAGAGAAAGGCGGTTCCTGAGGGTTGACATAATTACCCACTGGAGAAATATTTTCAGTAATGAACCTGGCCTTGATTTATGTTCAATTTCGAAATCAGTTGTGATGGCTTTGCTGGCAAATAGCCTCCTTCTTTAAATACATCATACCTATCATTCTATTCTCCTAGGTGTAACCAGACAGGGTTATGCTAGGCGTAACCACAGAAAGAGGGGACCAGGAATTTTCTATCAATAACCTTCTTCTTCTTCTTCTTCTTCTTCTTCTTCTTCTTCTTCTTCTTCTTCCTCTTCTTCCTCTTCTTCCTCTTCCTCTTCCTCTTCTTCTTCTTCTTCCTTCTCCTTCTTCTTCTTCCTTCTCCTCCTTCCTCTTCTTCTTCTTCTTCCTCTTCCTCTTCCTCTTCTTCTTCTTCTTCTTCTCCTTCTCCTTCTTCTCCTCCTCCTCCTCCTTCTTCTTCCTTCTCCTCCTTCCTC